CTAATTGTCCTTGATTTCTTGAGAAGCTCTGTCTGCTAAAAGAGGTCTGTGCCGCTGAGCCAGTTCCAGGCGCCAGGCAGACCTAGATTTCTTTACAGTTTTGCGTGACGATCTTCTTACGAGCACATGGTCTATATCAATTTCTCTCCCTCTACTATTGTAGATTACCTTTCCTTGACGCGAACACGGTGCAGGAAACGGCCAAGCTGACGACTCTCTCCATTCTTCGTTTCTGAATTCTGTTCCTCTACCTCCATGTTCCCTTTCTAGGCCCCTCCTTTCTCTGCCAACGTGCCCATTTATGTAACTCGTTATGGTGAGATAGCCACCTTGCGAGACTGATCTGAGGATCAGATAGAACTCATCTTTCCCGTCCTCGGGGCAACCAGTTTGTGGTGCGTACACGGATATCACTGTCCAGTACCATTCTTTCGTATCTATCTTCACAGTCATGATTCGCCTGATTTCTATGGCAGCGGAGACAGAGCCTTTTAGAGGTTTGGTGATTGCTATGACCACGCTATTTCGTTTGGTGTCTTCCCCATTGTAGTGGAGCTTGATACCTCTGATATCTCTAGCCTTTGCTAGTTTCCAGCGTGTCTCTTGAAGGCATAGGAGTGGATATTCTTGCACTTCATCAGATCAGCATATTAGCAATCTCTCGAGACTTCCCAGAAAGCGATCCGTCGCGCAGACTCGCTATTCGAATTTACTTTTTCGGCCAAGCTCGTTCACTCTTTGGGCGGGAGCACTTTGCGCCACTCCCGAGCTATGTCCTGTTAGGCACTTATTTAGGACTTTAGACATGATTGGGGTAACGGGTTTTCTATCAGCCAACCTGCCATCCTGGGCCTCATGTTGGTACCTATATCAACAAGGTATGAATTTTGCCTTGACAGAAATCGAACTCACGCTCTTCTTGAGTGCAGACCTGAGACTACTCTCTTGACCACTCAGCTATCTCTGCCCAAGATCTTGGCTCCGTCTGCCATTTAGACTTGATCACCCTTCGTTTAATAACCTCGATTCTCACCTCCGACACTTCTTCAGGGACACTGAGGCGTTTCAAACGAATCTATAGATTTTTGCACAGCTTTAAGTTAGACCTTCTTGATCGAAAGCACACCCACCCACCGTAAGCGCAGGTTCGCTGTCTTTTCGCGGCGATATTAGACCTTGCTTAACTCAACATTTTTCTGGCCTCCAGGCTTTCAATGAATCGAGTTTTGAATTCATGTGGGAAGCCTGTCATGATTCACTGTGATAGCCTTATACATACTACACGCGGATCTTCTTCATTTAATATGCTGATCCGATCCTCGCCTTTGCTTCTTTTTTCCTGGCGTCTGTTGATAAATCTAAGAGGTTGAGCTCTAATAAACTTGCCTATGCCCAATTCGTCCTGAACTTGATCCAGCGAAAGGTTTTCCGAGTGCGCAACCATTATGGACATTTGTTTCAAATTTTCGCTTGAATTTGATTAAAGGAAATTTGCATTAGAGATGTAATGGAACAGAGTGCCTGTTACTAACTGATGCCGACGTAGAAGTTTCCTTATCTCACCTACTCTCTTTTTAAAGGGTTGATCGCTCTGTGTTCGAAGAGAATGTATATGGTTCATCGTGCGACAAGGAAGGAATTTATACTCTACTCCCAGTCAATGACGTCGCAAAATGATCCGCACTGGTTAAGGGATCGATCAAATAGTATCACTAGATTTCCTATTTCATAACACCTTCTTCATCGCGCCCACGTGACTTTTTGCTGATTGGTACATAAAACAAACATGTATAGAGATATCGTATAAAGAGTATGACAGAACAGGTTGAAGAGGTTGAATAATGGGCGGCATAATGTAAGAAAACGTTGCACGTAGTTGCCTGACAGAAGGCCTGATATATCAATAGAGATTTGAAAGCAGGCTTAAAGGCACAGTTCACAATGATCTTGGGTTATCCAGTTTATGAAGAAAAATGGACGAGAATAGTACGATGGAGGCGAAGAAAGCACGAGAATAGGTGTTTCCAAGGAGATAAAAGGCTTCGAAAAAGTCGTTAGAAGGGGGATGGGGGGGGGGACGGACGGGAATAAGACAAAAAATGACGTAGAAGGGGTGTTTTGATGAGCTATACAATGTGTCCTATTGCGTACTGCTGACTACAGTAAGTAAGCAAAAGTGCTCTTCAAAACCACTAGTATAATTCAACAAACACAGGATCAACAGAAAATCATAATATCATGATCATGTGCCCGGAGTGCACAAGTACGGGTTCGAGTCCCGTTCGATACTGAAGTTTTTTCATAAATCGCCAACCTCGTGAGACCTTCGGAACGCGTACTGTGGCGAAATAACAGCAATTAACAAAACATCAAGTCAAAACAGCAAACCACCCTTCATCCTCGTAAGGGGAAAGCTCGCAGCAGCAAAAAAAA